TCATTGGAACAGCTGCACAAGTGAAGCAGATGAGAGCTGGAAGAGAAAATGATTTGATACTGTGACAGAGAACCACGTACCTACAGAAATAGGAGAAATGACGTTGTTATAGTGCTGCCTATTAGATTTTGGGAAGCTGCAGCTCCTGATGTGTTTCTCTTGAAAGGAACTGTGGGAATGGGGCAGTTGATGCTTGAACTCTCTAGTGGCTTTGGGCACAGGTGGGACAGCAAGCACACATTGCCTTTGCACAAGCACGCAAGGGATGCTCCCAGCGGCCTGTGTGGGTACTCTGGATACAAGGTGCTGTGCCAGGAACTTGCACAGAATAGATTTTCTTTTCTGTTGTTGTTGTTGTTGTTGTATGTAGAAGTGAAGGAGAAGTGTAGTTCTGTGTGGTGACAGGAAGGACTCCAGAATGTTTGTGTTAGGACTGTGGGGCTCTGCCTTTGTTCCATTTCCAGTGGGCAGGCAAGTGGAAAAGCAGTTGTCCAGACCAGAGGGTTCTTGCCTCTATAGGATTTCCTTTTGTTGCCACCATTTCTGTGTCTAAATAAACACTGGGTACAGTCAGAGAGAAACTCTTAAACCAGGTGAAAGAAGTCTGCTTAACACACTACGTATGGGCAGCAATGGGATTGTGCTCCTCACCTAACAGCAGGAATCCTTGCATATTGAAAACGAGAGATGTGTCTGTGGGAAAGAAATTGCCTTGGAACTGTGGAAGTGTCGCATTTGGTGGCTAAGAGAAGAAATGTAAGGATTCCTTCCCTGATGCACTTTTGAATGGGTGGGTTCTTTTTCCTTTTACAAGAGGAACAGGTGAGTTATCCTCCAGCAATGTGGGATTTTTTTCTTTTACTGTTTCAGCCTTGGAAAACAAAAAAAAATACTTAATTCTCCTTTACCCACTCACCTTAGCAGTTATATTTATACATATGTTAACATTATTATGATGAGTAATAATCTTTACATTAGGAAAATAAGGCAAGGAAATAAGTGATGAAGCATTTTGTTAAATACATAAAACTCCAAATGTGTCTCAACAAGCACATCTGGTATGAAATTTTTCTACCAAATGAGAGCAATCGGACTGCAGGCTGTGGTTGAATATTACACCACCCTTCACTCGTTGCCACCTTCATTTCTTTTGCATTTTATGTCATTCTTCAGTACCAGGATGTTACTCACTTGCAGCCTTGTGCTTATGGCATGAATGAGATATTCAGTACCTGCTCTTTCAATCACCTTTGTTTCAATTTGTGCAATTAGAAGGAAGCTGTCTTTCCTTTTGATGGGACTTTGTCTGTATCCTTCCCTCTGAAGTAGCTTAGTGTAAATGACACCTGTTGCAATACTGAAGTATTTTGGTAACTTTTTCCTCACCTTTGTTAAGAGGAATAATAATTAATTTCAATGCTGCTGTTCAAAATTCTTCTTGTTTTGAGATTTTTTTTGGTAAGGGTTTACTTTCTTCCAAATTGGTGTGTAATCCAACTGAACCGTGCTGTAATTTATGTGGTTACTCTGTGTTTATTAGTAAATGAGAGGAAAGGGTGGGTGATCTGATTGGATTCCAAACCTTGATCCAGGAGAACCGTCGAGGATATTAATTGGAGATGGCCGGATCACTTTAGTTAATTATTTTGTGGGATATAAATAATGTACATACTCATTTGTCTGAGATTTTCTACACAGCTACGTATATGCATACTGTTAAAGCCTGGAATTTTATAAAGGCCAGATTTGTGATTGTTGTCTCTTATATTCCAAATCCTGTGATATGCAACTTGTAGATAGTGTACAATAATTGAATTATGATTATAACAGTGTCTCTAGAGGGCTTTGGTGGTGTTTTTTTCCTCTGTGTACTTCTGTACTTTATCATATTTATTTTTTAGGCCTCATTGTAACTGAACAAGCTGCCAAAGGATTTATCTAACTTTGGATTTCTACGTTAGGTTTATACCTGCTGTTTTGTATCAGGAATCAGTGGTAGAGAAGTTCAGCTCTTTCATATAAACTCTCAATGGCTAACATAGGAATCGGTGCGACTTTATAATGAGAATTTTCTTGTGATAGGTTTGTTCCATGGATGTTGAGAACGTCCATACTGGATGCATTTTCTTCTAGTATGAATTGGCAACCATGTCTAAGTTACAGTCAGCTGAGAGCAGCAGTTCCATTTGCCTGCAGTATCACCATGCAGAGGTGTGCTTTGCTGCCATTTTGTTAGGGCCTTCCCGTGGCACACGCGTTGTCTGTTTAATTTGGTGTGAAGATTACAATCTTAAGAAGTCGTTTCTGTAGCAGGTAGGCCTTAAAGTATCGTCCTGTGTTCGTTCAGCTTTCGTTCATAGATGTCCATAGGCATGTGGAGTGGTGGCTCTTTTGAAGGCTGTCCTTCAGAAAGGAGTGGCTGAGCGGAGCATGGCTGCAATCTTTCTGTAATTATCTTCTGATAGGAAAGTCGATTTCTTATTTTTATCTATGCATCTTTTCTAAGAAATAACAGGCACTACTCTTGCTGACATGGAACACTGTGACAGAACTGTTGAATAAATAACTTTTTAGAACTCCTGGCTTTTACCAGTTCAATTTCACGTGAAGCTGACAAACTCCTGAGTCAACAAAAAAGAGAAGCGAAGGAAAAGAAACAGAGAAGGGGCTGTTTGAGTGATCTGAGAGCTGTGCTGGCCCCAGCACGGCACACCTGGGCTTGGACTCTGGTTCTGTTTGGCTTGTGGCTCAAGTTGGATATGTGCTGGTTAATCACCGTTCTTAGAGAAAAATTACCATAGAGTTTGCAGTATTAGGAATAGGGGATCTGTTGTGATGGAACATTTGGCCTCTCATCTGCAATATGTGTGCATTGCCTTGTGTGAATAAACAAAGTTTATTTAACAAATGGGTGAAAAGTCTTCTGTTTGCAACACAGGTAAATCCTTGCCAGAAAGATGGGGCAAGAGAGCAGCTGTGGGCAGCCTGCTGTGGGAACCTGGCTGCTGCAGCCCTCCCTGCCTGCCTCCCTGTGTTCCTGTGTGCTGCAGCACAGGGAGCGAGCAGCTCAACTTCATAGCCATGCTGATGAGCTGCTCTTATTGGGAATCACTGCTTGTTACCTTCAATTGAATATAAGGTAGACTTGGGGTGCTGGAGAACGTTGCTGTGCACTGGTTGTTAACCAATATATTGCAAACCAACACGGGAAATAGAAGAGAATGATCTCAGAGAAAAAGGTAATACACTGATTATACAGAAAACAAATATCCTGCTCTAAAGTGTGATTGAATTGCACATCCTAAGAAGGAACCATAACTGCTTAGTGCTTATTAGAGCTTTTCAAAGAAACGAATGAACCAGAAAGCAATTTGTAACTCAAAGTAAGAGTAAACCCTTGTACTGTGGAGATGCCTTCTGCCAAAGCTGTGAGTGGACGCTAAAACAGTCTGCAGGGAGCATAGTGCACTTGGGACTTGTGCTGTTAGTAGGCAGCAATTACTGCACTGCATCATTTCCTTACAGCCCCTTCTGGAGTCACTGGCCCTGCTGGGCTGGTTTCAGGTCAATTCAGGCTACAAATCTGAATTGTACAAAGCCAATGGAATGGGTCCAGAGAAGGGCTACTGAGATGGTCGGAGGGCTGGAGCACCTCTCCTATGAGGAAAGGTTGAGGGAACTGGGCTTGTTCAGCTTGGAGAAGAGAAGGCTGCAGGGAGACCTCATGGTGGCCTTCCAGTACTTGAAGAGGGTGTAGAAACAGGAGGGGGATCGGCTGTTTGTGAGGGTGGACAGTGATAGGACAAGGGGAATGGTTTTAAACTGAGACGGGAGGTTTAGGTTGGATCTTAGGAGGAAGTTTTTCACACACAGGGTGGTGAGGCACTGGCACAGGTTGCCCAAGGAGGCTGTGGATGCCCCATCCCTGCAGGCATTCAGGGCCAGGCTGGATGTGGCTCTGGGCAGCCTGGGCTGCTGGTTGGTGACCTGCACACAGCAGGGGGTTGGAACTGGATGAGCACTGTGGGCCTTTGCAACCCAGGCCATCCTGTGATTCATTTTCTGGACAGTATCTTAACTTGGGAGGTCAGCCACGTTTACAGAGCAACGCTGAAAGCATCCTTGCTAGAACCAATTTAATGATTTAAGTGAATTCAGAAATAATGTTAATTTAGTCCTCAACATCCCTGACCCACATCCGTGTTTGATGAAGAAACCAGGCTGCCTCATTTCATCCAAGGACTTAAAAAAGCCACCTCTGGCGTGAGAGGAAGAGCGGCATTCAGCCCGTCGTGCTTCGGGCCCTCAGCGGGCTGTGCTCGTTCTGCACGGAGCCCGCGGTGCAGCTCCGTGAGCGCGCTGCTGCCGTGAGGGTCCCAGCGGGTGCCTGGGGAAAGCGATCGTAACCTCTGAATGGAAACAAGCTCATTACCGTGCTGGAGAAGTTTGGGTGCTGCTCCCAGCTTCTCGCTTGCTGCCTTTCCTGGCTTCTCGGAAGCTTTTTTTCCAAGCCAGCTGTGTCCCAAACCTCCCGCTGCAGCGGTGTGTTCTCGTCCATCTCCGTGCGAGGCGCGGTACGGCACGGCAGCGGGAAACGGGGAATCCAGCTCCCACTCCCCAGCTTTCCAGTTGGACAGCAGACGGCTCGCTTCACCTCTCGATTTATCTTTGTCTCCTGAAAGCGCGAACGGGAGCTGCCGCCGCTCGCACCAATGGGCCCGCAGCTCCTCGCAGGGATCTCGAAGCGGGGCTCGCGCCCCTCCCCGAGGAGCCGCGTCGAGGAGCGCCGAGTTGGCCGCCGGCTGTCCGGCTGGGACACGGGGCCGAGCCGCGCCGATCTCTTCCCCCCTGGCCTCCCCGGCACCGCCTCGGGGCCGCCCCGCGCCTCCCAGGTGCCGCCGCTCCCCGCCCCGCTCCTCCTTCTCCCCTCCCTCCGCCCTCTCCCTTCGCTCCCCGCACTCTCTCCCCGGCAGCGCTGAGGTTCGGGGCCGCCGCCGATCCTCGCCGTTATGGCCGCGGTGGGTGCAGCTGCGGGGGGCGGCGGGGCGGGCGGGGGGCGGCGGGGAGGGAGGCACGCGACCTTCACGTCTCCGCTTTCCCCGGCGCAGGTGACGAGGGGCACGGCCACGCGCCGCAGCCGGCTGAAGCGCTCGGACGGCAGCACCACCTCCACCAGCTTCATCCTGCGGCAGGTGAGGGGCGATGGAGGCGGGGGGCGGCGTTTCCAACCGGGGGAGCGGAGCCGACCGAGCCGGGCCGGGCCGCGTCCGCGCGTTGCCATCGTCTTGGGTGGGGGGGACGGCGTGTGCGAGCGGCTGTGCCCCGGGGGCGGCTCCCGTGGGGCCGAAGGCCTCGGAAGCGGCTCTGTGCTGCGCGGTGTCGGAGCGTCGCTCGCTCGCTCGCTTTAAAAGTCCGAGAGGTGAAACGTTTCTCGAAGCGTGAGGCCGCGCTCGTGCTGTGCCGTGAGCCGCCCGGCCCCGCTTCACGGGAGAGGGGGAAGCGCTGCACGTGGAGCTGCTGAGCCTCGGAGCGAGGAGGGACGCGAGGTTGGCTTTCACGGCGTCCAACGCCTCGTCTGCGGCCGGAGTGCGTCGAAAGGTCGCCGGCACTTTGAGCTTAGGGCGCACCGCTGTCAGAACTGCGCGGAGACCACGAGCGGCTCGCGCTGTGCTTCTGCAGGGAGGGAGGCGGCGTTGTGTGAGGGCTGTTCCGTCCCCAGGAGCCGCCGTGGCTTCCAGGGCTCCGAGCTCAGCGCTTCAGGTCCCGGTGTGCACGCCGTGCTCAGCCCGTGCACGTGGCAGCGTCGGGCTCGCGTAGCAGTGTGTGTCTGTGTGAAAATACACCGGTAGGTCAGAAGGAGGGCAGCTGTGCTCCTGAACTTCAGTCCTGGAAAAATGACGGCTTGCTTGTTTTAGTCGCTTTCTAAGATGACTTTTCAGCCCGCAGACATTTGGGCAGCGCTGCCCCTCGGTGTCCCTGCAGCCCTGCGAAGCAGGCAGGCGCAGTAGTGCTCTTAGCGGGATCTGTAGGAAGATCTCGTTGGGATTGTGTGAGCTGCACACCGAAAATAACTGCTGGGCTCCCTCCCACCTCCGTGCCGAGGGAGCAGAGCAGAGGAGCTGCCTCCAAGGAGCGCTCAGGTAAGGTCACAGCAGCTCTCCCTGTGTGTTGAATAGCAGGCTTCTCTCCCTGCAGCAGTTCCACTCCTCCTCACAGCCACGTGCAGCTGCTCTGTAGTGCAGGAGCCCTTTGCATCCCGTGTTCTTGCTGTGGGGTTTCAGCTGTGTGTCGAACAGTCCCAGCTGAGCTGTGTGTGCTGTTGGTGTGCGGTTCCTCTGCTAACAGCCCGGCTTTGGGGGCATGGGGGGAAAAGTGTCCTAACAGGGATTGCCTTCAAGTAATGCTCTGCTGTATGCACGTATTGTTTCCCTTAAAGAGAAGAACAATTCAGTGGGATCTGTTAATATCTCTTGAAGACTTTCAGTCTGTTTTGCATCTTGCATGTTTTGAGCTGTGACTTAGTTTTACACTACCAATGGAAGTTTTGTCGTCACTTTCCTTTTGCATAAAGGAATGGATGCACAAATCCCGCAGGCTTAAACTCTCTACACAACTTTTCTTTATGTTGTGTTTAATTACTGGTTTAAGTTCGTCAGTAAGTTTAATTTACAAGAGGATAATTGCATGGACAAGCTTGTGAGTTGGCACTGCTGTCAGCACCACGTGGCAGTATCACGGGTGTCACTTTGAGCTGTGTGTGTCAGCAGTGGCAGAGCTGTGGGCCTCCAGCACTGGGCTTCATCAGCCCCACACAGAAGCAGGGTTACGTGTGATATGTATAGGATGCCTTTTGTGAATGAGGACAGAAAGGACCTTTTTGGACTTGGAAGGCAGCGCAGTAAGTGTGGATATCTGGCAGTGCCTACGTGCTGGCACTGCGGCTCTGGGCAGTGTCTGATGTGGGGCCAGCTCCAGGGCCACACTGTGTGAGGATCCATGGGGGGAAGTGTGGAAGTCACATCGTGCCACCAGTAACCATCAGTTCAAGTGCAGATTCGTTGGCAGTCCTGGAGCAGTGGCCCAGAGCTGGGGCTGTTCTGTGGGCCCTGAACAAGGCTGGCTGTGCAACACCACTCCTCTGACAGCCGTGCTGGTGCTGCTCGGTTGTGTTTCAGAAGCCCTTGAGGGACAGAAGTCAATTATCAGTCTGGTGGAGTAAGGGAATAAGTAGGCCAGCTGAAAACATATGCTTATAATTTTGCAGATGCTGGAATAATAGTTTACTGGGTTTTTTTTTTTCCTCCAAGACTTTGTTTCCACCTCTTATTTCAACTTGTAACACGGTTTGTTTGCTTGTTGGTTTGACTTCGGGTATCTTAATTTCTATTACCTGCCATTTTCAAATGGAATTTATTTGGTTGAGTAAAGGTAAGCAACAACAGCAGTAGCACAAAGGTAATGTTACAGCTCTGCTTCCTGTGCAATGGAAGTGCCCAGTAGGTCTGCTATGGTCTTGGTGCAGGGCAGAGGCAGGTGTGTGTGCCCGGAGTCGTTAAAGCCTTTTGGAATGCCTTAATGCAATCTGGGAGGAAAAAACTCATGGTAAATGGCTGTATCTGTGTTACTGGACTAGGAGTCCTCAGGGATACCAGTGTCTGAAGCAGAAACTTTGATAGTCGGAGATGAGGGCTCTGCAGGAGAATGTGAGGCCCCGTCCCTTCCCCCTCTGCTGCCCTAAATGCAGCCCTGCCTGGGGGGCTGCTCTGCCCTGGGGCACAAAATGCTCACCTGTGCCTTCTCCTCCAAGGTCTGTGCTCCGTCTGCCCTCCTTTGTAGAGATGTCGGATTGAGTCTCATGAGCTGAAGGATGGGTGGGTGGGTTTCCTCTTTGATGGAGAGGTGTCAGTTTTGAATAGCTCAGCTTTCGAAGATGCAACTAAAATTGAAGTCTGGCTGCAAACCTCTTGTTCTATAAAAGCCTGGTCGTGTGCCCAGTTGCCTCTAATTGCAAATGCCTCGGTGATTAGGTGCTTGAAGTGAAACAAGGGGCTGTGAGCACCTGAATAGCAGCAGGGCCTGGTGCTGAAGTCTTCCTGACTGTCTTGAAACACTTAGAAATCCCTCTGAGCTTTTGCCAGAGTCTTCAAGTAGAGAGTCTGTGTCCACTTCAAGCATGTTTAACTTCACATAAAATGGCATTAGGAAGTGCAGTTTGTTTTATGGAAGTCTTTTTGCTGATTATTTTTTAGAGACAGTTGGAGTTAAAGTCAGTTTTCTTTTCAGGCTTTTCTTTTCACTCACTGTTGCATCTCTGGTTGTGGTTGTGCTCACTACTTTTTCATCTGCAATACATAGAGGAGAAGAAAGCATGTCCTTGTGTTATTTGAGCACTTCTCAAGCCATGGCAATGATTTAAACAAAGAATGACATTCTAGCCCCTCCCCTCCTTCCCAAAAAAAGAAAAGAAAATCAAAAGAGCTTTGTGACTTTGTTTTCAGGTCAGTTTTTCCAGCCTCTCAATGTAGGATTATGCTGTCCCCTCTGCAGGACCAAGGGGTGCACTCTGGTTGGTTGTTGGCATCTGTGTTCAGTTATCTTCTGCTTTTTTCAAGACAAAATTGCTTGCATATCAGATTTGGAAAGATGGGTTGGTGATGATGCTCACTGGAACAGGCTGCCCAAGGAGGCTGTGGATGCCCCATCTCTGCAGGCATTCAAGGCCAGGCTGGATGTGGCTCTGGGCAGCCTGGGCTGCTGGTTGGTGACCTGCACACAGCAGGGGTTGGAACTGGGTGAGCACTGTGCTCCTGTGCAACCCAGGCCATTCTGTGACAATGAGTTGTTGCTCCTCTGACTTTCAGATAGCAGAAGCAGGAGGCACTGAGTAGTGTTGTCCAAGCTGGCCAGATGTGCAATGAGCCAGGCGTTCCTCAAAATCAAGTGCTGATGAGGGTGATAAAATGTGTATCTGCAAAGGAGCAGGTTAGAAATTCAGTAATTTACAGGATGAGCTCAATTCTATGATGAGTCATTAATTTCTAAAATATAACTTACTGCAGAATATGATTATTCCTTAGACAGAGGGCTGGATCATTATTTTTTTACACAGCATTTAGCAACCCGTTAGGCATTTGACAGGTGAATAAAAGATTCAGCCCTTTGCCCAAAGAACAGCAGCTTTGATGGCAGCACAGAGTTGCTGTAAACTCACCTCTGTTCTTAAACCAGCGCAGTTAAATGGTACAACAGTTACATCTTTTGGGTCAAACCACCCTTACAACCAGTTGGCTTTGGCTTAACCTAAACCTGTAGGCTTGCAGAGGGCAAAACCATCACAAGTAAATTTCTACAGAGCATCTTGGTCTGTAACGTACCAACATCCATCTGACTTTGAGGCTGGTTTGGGGTCTTCTCTTGTGTGCAGCACCATCAGGTGGTGTAGGAAAGTGCTGTGAACTTTGGAGATGTTGGTAGGTGTCCTCCGCTGATATCGTCACGGCCTGTGCATTTGTTTGCAATGGAAGGGATAGCTTGGAATTGTAGAATCACTGGAGCTGGGAGAGATCTTGATGACCATGAAGTCCAACCTTTGGACATTGATCTGTCATCACTGCACCCACCAAACCATGTCCCTCAGTATCTACACACTTCTTGTGGGGATAGCCTGCTGTTGGAGAGCACTGTTGAGGGCATTTGACCCTCAGGAGCCTGTGGTCATCCCTGGCACGATCGGTGTGGGATGGGACGTCTGTGCTGACGTTGGTGAGGCAAACAGCCAGGGCTGTTGTTATGAGAAGTGCTGACACCGTGGAGGCTGTCAGACCAAATCAGGCTGTTAGTGCTGCTGGAGGGCTGGGTTTCTGGGTTGTATCTGGGCAGCTCCCAACCCCACACTGGCTGGTGACTTTCAGATGACAGCCGTGTCCAGCCTCGCATCCCGCCAGGTGCTGCTGGTGTGGCTTACCTCACAGCCATGGGATGTGTTGGCGCGTTGATGGTTGCACTGGATGATCTTGTAGGTCTTCTCCAACCTTGGTGATTCTGTACAGCTGAAAGTTGTCCTGGAGTTGCCCTGGGTGCTCTGAGAGGCTCCGTTCCTGTAGGCACCCACATCTGCCTTGCGCTGTCCTTTATGACGGCTGCTTTGATCCCAGCATCCCAAAGTCTTGCCTTGGGTGGGCTGTTCCCTGCA